TTTTGTCCGCGATGACCACGTGCGAATGGCATACCGATCACCATACATCGGCCCATGCCGCGTAATCAGTCGTCATGACAAATACTTCGTCATTTGGTACAAGTCCGGAGGATTGGGTAACTACAAGAATACACCGATCTCCATCGACCGACTGAAACCAGCGTACGTACTGCCGGAGGACAGTACGCGTAAACTTCGCGAACAGACCGACAATCCACGTCTATACTATCTAAATTTCCTCATCAAAAATTTTTTTTTCACCTGCTTATTATATTTCACCTGTTCCGAGATTAATCTTTTTCTGTTGCAGTGCTGAAAAACTACCTTTTTTCACTTAAGCAGGGGAGTCATGTAGCGTCTCGCTACACACACACACCAATGCGTAACATACGCACGGATACGACAACGCTGAGAGACGACAGGACATCGGTGACAACATCGCGCTCTGTCCGCGCCCAGTATAAAATACCTCTCGCTCGCACCTATTGTCACGCGTATCCAAATTCCCGTCTTACGCGATTTATTATAGTCAGTAGAGTCTAACACTGACCTCCGATCAGATCACTTTGATTATTCTTTCTCTTTTGTATATATATTCTAAACGTCTTGATTAAACTGTAATTTAAATACTAATTACATTNAACACACGCACGGATACGACAACGCTGAGAGACCACTGGACATCGGTGACATCATCGCGCTCTGTCACGCGCCCAGTATAAAATACCTTTCGCTCACACCTATTGTCATGCGTATCCAAATTCCCGTCTTACGCGATTTAAGATAGTCAGTAGAGTTTAACACTGACCTCCCATCAGATCACTTTGATTATTCTTTCTCTTTTGTATATATATNTTCGCTCGCACCTATTGTCACGCGTCTTCAAATTCCCATCTTACGTGATCTATTATAGTCAGTAGAGTCTAACACTGACCTCCGATCAGATCACTTTGATTATTCTTTCTCTTTTGTATATATATTCTAAACGTCTTGATTAAACTGTAATTTAAATACTAATTACATTTGTTAGTGAATTGTTACATCCCTCAACAACCTCAATTCCTACACCCCCGCCATGCCGCGCATCGTCCCTCCTTACCGCGACCCCCCTCACTCACATTTGATTTCGAACCGACACCTCCCCCCTCGCCACGCTCTCCTCACCCGCAACTGATCTCCGCGCGCCACCTCCCCCCACCCCACGACCGATCTCAGCGGGCTGCCTTCCCCCTCCACCACGCGCCCCTCCCCC